AATAGTGAACGACGAGCATTAGCTCGTACAGCCAAAGATTAAATGTCATTCCGATAACTGTTCTCTCGATTCGACGAATAAGGACATATGTTCGTGTTTGTCGATCTTAACTAGATTTTACGAATCAGGGGTATAGCGTCTCTCAATAGGTTACCATACTCGTTTCAATATTTTCGACGAAATGTTTTCGTTCATAATTTCCGATAAAATCCAAGACCGACACATTCTTCGTATTTGCAACCACAATCATACGATAGTTGGCTGTAACTGTTACAAAAGGATTCGTGTAAATTTACTTTAACCGTCTTACGTTCCTCCTGTTGTTTTCCATCGAATCGTATTTTTTTATACGATTAGAAAATTTCATAAACTTGACGATAATATGGAAGTATGCTAAAGATTTCCTTGACAGTTAAAAACTCATTTTCAGTTGAAACCAAAGGGGTCCTTATCTCTCTTAGGTGATTATATTTTACATTCGTCAGCAAGCGTTATCGTTCGATTGATTTACAATTTCTATCCTATGTATTCTCTGCTGATTACTGGCTTTCTACACGTATATTCTATACATTCGATAAAGTAAAGGATTATAATTTATAAGAAATTGAAACTGATAGAAATTAATTTAACAGATAAGAGATCTGCCGTGCGAAATATACCTTCGTTCGAACTTGAAACGACCGCTTCACTTACTAATCTTCATCTTAAATAGGCATGCATTAAAAATCTCGGAGGGCGCTGTGACCGCTATTGCTTGACAAGCCAGTCGATCCAACAGGTGAAAGACTTACCGTCTAGAGATAAGTCCCAAGTAATGGTAATAAGATTTCGCGAGGAATTTTCGTCGCGAAGGATATACAAACCCTGTAATGATAATCTCGTAATTACGAATAAGATTTAACAATTCCAATAAATTAATACCCGACTTTTTGCTTTAATTGATCTAGGATCTGTTCGATCAATCAAACGGCAATGTTCGTCGACTAAAGCAACTATTTAGATGTACTATTTCATCGACAATTCACGAAACCATACGCTGTCATCATTGTGCGTGAAGCTATTCTATATATTTAAAGGGGCTAACAATTTGCAAAGTTGTAGAAGTAGATCGAGGAAGAAGAAGGAGATCTCGATGTGGAAATTAGAAAGAAGGAACGATCGAAAAGGGGCAAGGATAACGCTCGGGAAGAGGTTACACGTCTTGGTTATACAACGACCCGCGACGACAACCAGGTCGAAGTGGGAACGTTGAAAAGGCCAGAAGAGCATTAACCAACAGGCCCTCGAAAAGAGGAGGCACGAAGGTAGCCGTTCGTAGAGAAAGAAGGACAATCGTTCGTTTAGAAGGAGAGAAGCAACGGAGGAGAACGGTCATTGCCACCACCTCACCTCGAGCCGGTGCTAAAGTCTCAACACGAGGAATATCCTCGACCCTGCCACGGTCTACCGTGCGGAATTGTCCTGTAGTTTAGCTTGGCTTCGTTCTATCGGTCATGGTGGGGCCTTCACGGACAACGATGCGTCGCGTTGGGATTCGTGCATGCGGAGCGCACCGGAGAGCACCTGGATCGATGATCCAGAAGTCGTGAACTACGCAAAGACCACCGACAAACCAGTTCGATTGGTGCTACCTGTTGTGAGCAGGTCGAAATTTTGTTACGCTTCGGCCTGGGTTCAAGGGTGAATTTTCTTCGAAGGTGTACAAAGTTCGACACAGCTACGAAAGCGTTTCGGGAGGGTGAGAATTCTAAGCTTGCTGGGGGGATGATGTCCCTCGGAATCTGACGACGAAGTAGCGTTCATCGTTGCAGTCGCTCGACCTCATCAGAAAAGGTAAGCTTATCGTTTCAACTCGAGAGAACCTCGCTTTAATGGAAAAAAAAGGAAAAGAAAGAAAGCACCGTGATATATCGAAGCAATATTTACCATTGTAATAGAAAGAACACGATAATTGTACGATATAATCTGCAACCATAGTACGTTACGTCTAAATCTAATAATTCTGACAATTTGTTTCATGATTAATTTCGAAGGTTTTAATAAAACATGTTAAGGAAAAGACCGTTCGTCGGATAACCGATCGAAAGAAATCGCAGAACTGCCAGAGATTTGCCAATGCGAGCCGTATGTCGTTCACGAATACCGTTCGTTTCTTTAAGCAGAATTCAAACTTTCACAAACGCCACGTTTTAGTATGAATGTCATCCTCTCGATAATATCACTTTGTTTCGTATGACATTCACGAGCAGATCAAGTGAAAAAAAATCGATAAAGGTCACGCCTAAATACTTGTTTTCCATTATAATTTCGCTTCACGATCGGAGACGACTAACGCATAAATCACGTTATACCGCGATTAGTTATTTTCGAAGTAATCAACCCCAAACAGCTATCAGGAAAAGTATTCCGTTCGAAAATCCACATAGTTGTACAAAGTTTGGAACGTATCTGTGTTAATCTTATATCCAATTAACGACTTTCTTTCGCGCCGAAATATCTTGCTCAGGATATACACAGGTAGACGTGGCTTCGGATACAGGCCCATCGATCAAGCCAAAAAGTATTTACGATTGTACTTTTAACGAATTTCGGCTTGATACGGTCGTTTTTTCGCTTCCAAATGGCTGTTTTATTCCACTGAACCGTACTTCGGCGCCAACCCACATGTGCGCCTTGTATTAGATACGTGCGTACAAATGAAAGTGGCTTGTACCGTTACAACTTACGTACTAGGCTACAACAAAAGCTTTTTATATAGGGACACGGTTGCACACGCATGTACGTTAGTCCTCGAACCTTCCAGTTACGAAAATTAGATATCGATGTTTGTTTGATTCACCTTGCGATTCAACGCCGGTGGTTATCGTATTCGTCTTCGGGAATACGTACATATATCAAATTATTCGATTATACATGAAGAATAAAAAAAAAAAAAAAAAAAAA